AGGGTGGGGGTGATCTGAGACCAGGGAGGAGGTGGGACCCCAGGGAGGAGAGGGGACCCCCCTGTGGAGGGGGCGGAGGCACTGATGGGGCAGAGGAGCGCCTGGAAAATGGAACTGCACCCCCATGCCCCTGCCCCCTGCAGGTGAGCGCCGCGAGGGGGTCAACGCCTCCGTCAGCTCCGACGTGCAGTCGGTGTTCAAGGGGAAGACCTACAACCAGCTGCAGGTCATCTTCCAGGGCATCGAGGGCAAGATCCGCGCCGGTGGCCCCAACCTGGACATGGGCTACTGGGAGAGCCTCCTGCAGCAGCTGCGCGCCCACATGGCTCGGGCCCGGTGAGCGCTGGGCACAGGCACTAGGGACAGTGCTGTGTGGGTGGGGTGGCTCTCGCCCCCTCCTGCGACCTTATGGGGGCGGGCAAGAGAAGTGCTGACTGGGTGGGGCCGGTTCGTCCTTGACTCGGGTGGGAATGCAGGCCGGGGTTGGGAATGCAGGCCGCTAGCTGGAAGGCCCCAGGAGGCTCCAATGCACTGGCCCCGGAGTTGTGAGCCCCGTAGTTAGGCGGGGCCTCCCAGGGCTCCCCAGCAGCTTCCGCCCTTTAATGAGTACCTGGCCAGCTCCAGCAGCCCCGGCATCACAGGAAGCCCGGAGGCGGCCTGTCCACGCTGCCTTCCGCCCAGGCCGGCACCCTCCCAGTGCTGCTGCCGCCTCTGCCTGTGTACAGATTCCTGGAGTGTTTGGCACCGCTATGTAAATACAGTGTCTCCTCCGCTAATTTGTAAATGTCTCTAAATTTATCATGCTCGTTGGCTGGTGTCCTGCTGGGCCCCTTCTCCTGACCAGCCTCAGCCACAAGACACTGAGACTCCAACCTGAGACAGAGACCTGCCCCTCCCTGCCACAGAACAGTTCTCCGGGGTCCCTGGGTCCCCTCGTCCTCGCTGCTATAAGCCTTGACCCTGAACTGGCAAGGCCTGGGCAAAGGTCCCAGCGGAGCCTTGGCTGCTCGCCACCTTCTCAGGGTCCTTGCAGCAAAAGGGGATGTGAGAATGTCGGTGGGGGTGGGGCTCGGAGCCCCTTCGCCTCCACGTGGGTAACCCCGGCCCTGTGTCCCAGGCTGCGCGAGCGCCACCAGGACGTGCTGCGGCAGAAGCTGTACAAGCTGAAGCAGGAGCAGGGCGTGGAGAGCGAGCCGCTGTTCCCCATCCTCAAGCAGGAGCCCCAGTCCCCCGGCCGCAGGTAGGCGCAGCGCGCGCCCTGGGCAGGATGGAGGAGCCGCGGGCAGCCTCCGCGCCTTCGCCCTCCATCGCTCGCTCGCTCGCTCTCTCTCTCTCCTCCCCAGCCTGGAGCCTGAGGACGCGGCCCCTACCCCGCCCGGGCCTTCCTCGGAGGGCGGCCCCACGGAGGCCGAGGTGGACGGCTCAGCCCCTACAGAGGGTGACGGCGATGGCGATGGTGACGGTGACGGTGATGGCGAGGGAGAGGCAGTGCTCATGGAGGAGGACCTGATCCAGCAGAGCCTGGATGACTATGACGCCGGCAGGTACAGTCCGCGGCTGCTCACGGCGCACGAGCTGCCACTGGACGCGCACGTGCTGGAGCCGGATGAGGACCTGCAGCGCCTGCAGCTCTCGCGCCAGCAGCTCCAGGTCACGGGTAAGGGCGGGGCTGGGATGGGGGGCGGGGCCAGTGGAGCGCGCTGGGGGGCGGGGTTTGTGAGGCGGCCTGGGGCGTGGCTGAGGCCCAGGGGTGGGGCCGTGCCTGGTGGAGGCGGGGCTTGCTCCAGCCTCATTTCCAGGCGGAGGCCAGTGGGGAGTTGCTTGTTTCTTCTCCCCCGGGTCTCTGGGCGTCCATTGAGTCAGCTGCGCGCACTGGGGCATTCACTCATTCATCCTGGGCTTGCTGGCCCACTGGCCTTGGGGACATGGGTGGTCGGAGCTTTTACAGGCCACTGTCAGCCCTCTGGGGAGCATGGTCCCAGGACAGAGGAGGAAACAGGCCTCAGAAGATCCCTAGGCCGGGATCCCATAGGGGTTCTTGCGCGGGGCCGGGTCCCGCAGCCAGGCCCTAACCACCAGGCTCTCGCCCTCCGCGCTTCGTCCCTACCCAAGAGGACGATAGATATGACGACCAAGGTCCGGGGCCCAGGGCAGGTGGTGCGGGACTCAGGGTCCCCCAGACCCTGTCCTCGCTGTGTGTCTTCACTGGCCCCAGCCTCAGTTTCCCTTCTCGGGAGGCACCAATGGCTGCCCTTGCGGGAGAGGCTGAAGGAAGACTAGGACCCAGGGGGAGGCCTAGGCCCGCGTTCACACCGTCCCGCCTGCAGGAGACGCCAGCGAGAGCGCCGAGGACATCTTCTTCCGACGGGCCAAGGAGGGCATGGGCCAGGACGAGGCGCAGTTCAGCGTGGAGATGCCGCTCACCGGCAAGGCCTACCTGTGGGCCGACAAGTACCGGCCGCGGAAGCCGCGCTTCTTCAACCGCGTGCACACGGGCTTCGAGTGGAACAAGTACAACCAGACACACTACGACTTCGACAACCCGCCGCCCAAGATCGTGCAGGGCTACAAGTTCAACATCTTCTACCCCGACCTCATCGACAAGCGCTCCACGCCGGAGTACTTCCTGGAGGCCTGCTCCGACAACAAGGACTTCGCCATCCTGCGCTTCCACGCGGGGCCCCCCTACGAGGACATCGCCTTCAAGATCGTCAACCGCGAGTGGGAATACTCGCACCGCCACGGCTTCCGCTGCCAGTTCGCCAACGGCATCTTCCAGCTGTGGTTCCACTTCAAGCGCTACCGCTACCGGCGCTGACGGCCCCAGAATGGCTTGGCACCCTCGGCCGCAATAAAGGGGCTTCGTGAAGCTGGTGGTCACTGCGCTGAAGGGTCGCGGGGTCACCTCCCACCTCAGGCTGCATCTTCCCCTCACCAGGCCTCAGTTTCCCCCTATACAAAAGGGGGGTCACCATCAAGCCTGCTTCCGAGAGCTGAGGGGACGTTGGGACAGGCTGGCCCATGGTCCCGATGCATCAGAGGGGGCACTGGGGGCGTCTTCAGAGCCAGCTGACCTCGCCGTCCAGGCGGACACGCTCCGCCACCTCAGCCAGGCTGGGTGTGGGGCCCACAGGGCCTGCCCCAGCTGAGACCACACGGGGTGCTGTGGGGATGGGCCACAGGGTCCCGGGCCTGGCGATGCCTGGCTTGTGAGAGGCAGGAAACTCAAGGCCAGCCCCAACACATCACAGGGTGCCCATCAGGCCTGAGGCAGAGCCCGGGGCGTGGGGCAGCTCCAGCCCTGCCTACAGGCCACCCACACCCTCGTCGGCAGCACTGAGGCCGGGACCCTGCTGGCGCCCGATCTGCCGCTGCCGAAGAGACCATCGGTGAACACGTGCTTTCTGCAGGGACTGGCCCCGGCTCACCCCTGTCTGGCTGTGAGGCCCGTTTCCCTGCAGCGGAGAAGGAGGACAAGTTGGGTCCCCATACCCATCTACTTCAGGGTTATGGGAACCAAGGCTCACTGAGCTGTCCTTCCCTGCCTCTGAGCACAGGGCCTGGGGGACGGGCTCCCCAAAGCCCAGCCGGTTAGAGGTTGGTGAGGGGCTTCCTCCGGGGATGCCCCCATCTGGCCTGGTCACAGGGCCTCGGGGCATGAGACCAGTGACCCCGAGTTCCTGCCCATGTCAGGACAGTCGCTCCTTGCTCCCCTTTCTAAGGCAAGGAGGGCTGAGGCCACATGGGTGCCACAGCCCTGCCTGGAGTGGCCCAGCAGGCAGGTTCGTTCCTTCAGCATCTGCCGGGGAGCATCTCCGACTGAAGCAAAGTGGAATGTGCCTCCCAGACCCCCCGAGGGCCGCACCCAACCTCCCCAGTTACCAGCCCCAGACCACCCACAGCCCTGCCCCATCTGGAAATAGTTTCATTTGTTTTTTTAGACTTTTGTAGGTGGGGAAAAAATCTTTTATTCTCATGGAATTGGCCTGGTGGCAAGATCGCATGTTTTTTAAATAAACATTTTATTTTAGAATAATCTCAGGTTTGCAGAAGTGCGGAGAGCGCAGCGTCTCTGGCGCCCCACACCCGCTGCCCTAGTTGCTGGCGTTTGTGACTCCACACATTTGTCACAAGGAAAGAGCCTGGGAAACAACACGGCACCCGGCTGGGCCCGACAGTCCCTGGGGGGCTGTGCCCCACCCCTCTGTCTTGTCTCCCGAAGTGGGGGCAATGGTCCGTTATTCCGCAGACAACGGGAGGGAGGGCACGACGTTGGACTCCGCGGCTGGCCTGGGCCCAGGCTCTCATGGGGACGGTGCTTGGGCACACCTGGGGACAATCGTGGTGGTCCCACCTGGAGCTGCTGCTGGCATGGAGTGGATGGAGGTCAGGGGTGCCGTCCAGTGTGCCGCAGTGTCCACCGCAGCAGGCAGAGGTGGGAGGCAGGTCCTGAACTCCCCCCGGGACACCGCTCACCTCCCAGCCCTGACCTCAAACGAGATCCCAGGAGTCTGGCACAGGGCATAGGGCTGGCCAGCTAGGTGTACCTGATCAAGGAGCTCCCTCTCCACATTGCAAATCCTGGCCCACCCTGACCACCCCGCTCCAGAATGCCTAATCGCAGTGCAGCACCCAGCACCGCCTTTACCAGACATCACAAGTAGCAGATTGCCAGCGCCGTCTTAGAATCCACTGCGCAGCCTCTCACATGGGTCCCTGGCCAGTTCCACCGCCGGTCGGTACAGGACAAGCCGCCGTGGGCAGCGCTGACTCCGGGTGGACCTGGGAGGCACTTTTTGTATTTTTGAGACGAGGTTTCACTCACCCAGGGTGGAGTGCAGTGGCGTGATCGCGGCTTTCCGTAACCAACGCCAGAAGGCACCTCTGAGCCTAGAGCGGTGTTTGGGAAAAGCCCGGTTCTACAGTCATGGGCCAGGTCGTGCTGTGTGGCTGCTGCAGCCCCCCCACACCGCCCCCCCGGACCCCACACCAGTTCTATGTGACAGCAGTTACTTCCATTTGGCTGCTAGGGACACAGGCTCACAGCAGCCCATGTTTTCCAGCCCAGAAAGTGGCAGAGCCAGTATCAAGCTGGCTTTCTCTATCTTGGAGAATCCCACTTCCAGACCACCATGCCATCCCAGCCTCAGTTTCCCCACCTGCCCCTGCAGGGGTCCCCCCACCCCCAGCATCCTGGTTCCCCCTCCTCTGGTGCCTTTTGGACCCCAAGGGAGATGGCTGTCCCCCAACTGGCAAGGCACATGTTTTAACAGGGGCCCCAGTCTGGAGGGAGCAGAGCTGGGGCCCTGGGATCCCCGAAGGCTCATAGGCACTAGGCCTGAGAAGACGGGCTGCCGGCCAAGGAGGGTGATGGTGCCTTGGGGAGGACAGGCCAGCAGGTGTCCAGGGCAGGGGCACACAGGGCTCAGGCCAAGCTAAGTAGCCAGGTCTTGGGGAAGCAGGGAACCAGGGAGGCACGGAGGGCACGTGAGCTGGGCAGGGCCTCTGAGCTGGGTGTCAGGGTCACCCTGCAGGGACACTGGAGGCCAGAGGTAGACTCTGCATGCACCGCCCCCCCAGCTACCCCAGGACTCCCCAGCCTGGCCCAGGTCCACCCAGTGTCCTGGAAGCTTCCCCCGCCCCCACCCCAGCTTCCTGACTTGGGCTGTGTCCAGAGCTAAGAATAGACACTCCCTGCCGGAAACCACAGCCGTGGGGGGCACATCCTGAGCCTGGCCTCCGTTCCCACTATCTGCCCCCAACTCCTCCCACCAGAGCCTCCTGTGCTCCCATTGAACCTGAGGTGCTGGCGGGGGCGGGCCAAGACAGGGAGACCTCCGGCCACCAGCCTCAGACCGCAGGGAAGCCCAGGGCCCATGTCCGAATCCCACACAGCGACGCATCATTTCCCCTTTGGGCCTCAGTTTCCCCATCTCTAAAGTGAGCATCTTTACCCGGATTTGTAGAGATGTGGTGAGACTTAAGCTAAGTAGTGAGTGTCCTCTGAACCCCGACCAGGCTGTTTCCCCGAAGAGACATTGCCCTTGTTATCTCCGGGCCGGGGACAGAGGAAGTGGGGACAGGACAGCCTTCCTCCACCTCCCACTGCCCCCTCTTCTGGAGCCCCAGCCCCACATCCTCCTCCCCCCGCCCATATCTGCCCTCCTTGCAGTTAGTATAGCGAGAACCTCACACACTTTTGCCTCCAAAGCTTTATACATGCAATTCCTGTCACTGCCACATATCCCAGACCTGGGGAGCTCCTATTCATGCAACAAAACCCCACTTCGTATGCCCTCTCCTCACGAGATGCCTTTCTAGCTCACCTCTGGGCTCTCCTAGGCCCTGTCACTCCCTTTGGCCCAGCCCTGACCCCAGGGGGCTGGAACAGGCTGTATCCAGTTCTTTGTCCAGCCTAGGGCATCCCAAAGGGCTGGCCTGGTTTCAGTCTCACTTGGAGCTCAGAACTGTTCCACTGTGTAAGCTGGGACACAGAGAGGGGCTGAGGAGAGTAAGGCTTGGAGGTCAGATCAGGTTGGCTTCACCCAGGAGTGGTCTTCGAGCCAGGGTTTTGCCAGATGTATAGGAGTTGGATGACCTCCTTGCCAGGGAAGAGAGAAGCTGTGTGAACCGGCTAGTGAGTCAATGGGACAGACCCTAGGGAGGGAGGCTGGGTGTGGCCAAAGGCCAGGAGGAGGAAGGATGGGGGGCGGGGTCGCCGGGGAAGGGGCTTCCGGACTCTGCTCACGGGAGGGCCGGGCTGGGGCGGGAATCCATCCCCTTCATTCACAGCCTGGCCCAGGGGATGGGGTGGGGTGGAGTCAGGGCCAGGCCACACTGTCCCGTCCCACTCCAGGCCCTAACTCAGGTTCCTGTCTTGAGGCCCAAGATCCCCCCTCCGCAAAGACACGGTCCCAGGCCCTGCATCCGCGCCTCCTCAGCCATTCCTATGGGGCTCCATCCCTCCTTCCCCAGCCCACGCTGGGGGACCGGCAGGACAGAGTGCCCATCCCCCACTGCAGCCTCCTGGCTCCAGACCCCTCCTCCTCTCCTCTAAAGCCACCTCCGAGGCTCCTCCTCCAAAGACCTTCCCACGAAATACCATCACCGCAGCCCTCCTGGCTCACCTGCTCTGAGACCCCCCCTTTCTCATTCTGCCTGTGGAGTCTGGTGCACCCCCATCCCTCTGTCCTCCCGCTGCACCCCTGGAAGGGGCCTCAAATATGCCCTGCATGTATTAAGCACCTACAGCGTGCCGGCGTCCAGCGCACCCAGTGAACTGGCTTGCAGTCCTGGGGTCTGGGCGACCCGGGGAACCCATCTGTCTGGACCTGCTCCGCCCCCTCCAGGCCTTGGGTGCTGCCCAGATGGTGAATAATACGGGTCTGGCAGCAGGAGCGCCGGGAAGAGGCCTGGAAGGGCGGCCAGGCAGCTGGAGGGGCTGAGGCTCCCAAGGAGGCGCCCCTGCCACCCCGACTTGGGCCACCACATCCCTGCCACCTGCGGCCTGGAGGGGTCCCAACGGGTGCTGCCTTCCCCAGGAGGCCACAGGGTGTCCCGGCGTGCTGGGGGCACCCACTGACCCCAAGTCAGCCAGGCCCAGGCCCGAGGGGCGTGGCCAGCGTGGGGTGGGCGGGGCTGATGAGAGACAGCGAGAGACAAAGAGACAGGACGCAGAGAGACAGGACGGAGAGACAGCGGCGGGTGCCAGCGGCCCCGACCCGCCCCGGCTCGGCTTAGCCCCCGCGGACCCCTCCAGGCCGCGCCCCCGGGGCGTCCTGTGCCACCACGCCCTCCATCTGTGTCCCGCGGCGACGCGCCAGCGCCAGGGTCCTCTGCTGGGCCCGCCCCTGGCCGTGACTCAGTTTCCCCGGAAGGCCCCACCGGATCCTGGCCTTCCCCGCCCTCCGCCCGCCCCCGGCCCTGGCCCTGGCCCCAGCCTGGGCGCCCGCACATCTGCCTGCTCAGCTCCGGACGGCGCCGGGACCCCCTGCGCGCAGGATCCAGCCAGGTGGGGGCCCCGCAGAGCAGAGGAGTCTCCGCAGGTGAGGTGGCCTCGCGGCTCAGGACGGGACGCGCTGCTCTGGTGTGAGCCGGGCTGCTGGGCGCATCCGGCGCTGGCCCTGCCCTGCTGTGGGTGTGTCCCAAAGCCCGCCGTGACAGCGGCCAGGTGCCGGGTGTCCCCTGTGTGGCCCAGCGGGTGGCACGGCGCCCCGGGCCTGCACTGGGTGCCGCCCAGGCGGCTGGGTCTGGGTGCCGCCCAGGCCGATTCTGTGAGGGGGGCTCGCTGGTCTCTGTGGGGCCACTTGGCTGTGAATGGGTGGGGGGCCTGCAGCCGGGGAGGGGGCCCCAGGCCCTGGGTGTGGCCGGCAGTGAGTGCGTCTGTGCAGCTGCAGCTTGTTTTGGGGGAGGGAACCGTGCGTAGCTCTGGTTGTGTGTGTGTGTCTGCCTGTCTGGTGGTTGTGTGTGTGTGACTGTGTGTTGGTTTGTTTCTGCCTGAGAGTCTGACTGTTTACCATTGTGTGTTCATCTGTGTGTGTTTCTGTGTGTGTCTGTGTATGTCTGTGCATTTGCTGTTTCTGCCTGTCTGTGTGTTTTTGTGTGTCACATTTCTGCCTGTGTGTGTCTGTGTGTGTGTCTGTGTCTGTGTGTCTGTGTCTGTATGTGTGTGTATGTCTGTGTGTGTCTGTGTGTGTCTGTGTGTGTCTGTGTGTGTGTGTCTGTGTCTGTGTGTGTCTGTGTCTGTGTGTGTCTGTGTATGTCTGTGCATTTGCTGTTTCTGCCTGTCTGTGTGTTTTTGTGTGTCACATTTCTGCCTGTGTGTGTGTGTGTCTGCGTGTGTGTCTGTCTGTGTGTGTCTGTGTCTGTGTGTGTCTGTGTCTGTACGTGTGTGTGTCTGTGTGTGTCTGTGTCTGTACGTGTGTGTGTCTGTCTGTGTGTGTCTGTGTGTGTCTGTGTGTGTCTGTGTCTGTGTGTGTCTGTGTGTGTCTGTGTCTGTGTGTCTGTGTGTGTCTGTGTCTGTGTGTGTGTGTCTGTCTGTGTGTGTCTGTGTCTGTGTGTGTGTGTGTCTGTACGTGTGTGTGTCTGTCTGTGTGT